ATGGCAGAAAAAGAAACTTCCATTACACCTTCAACAAATATGAAAATAAAAGACAGATTTGGTGTACTGAAAGAACAAAAGATATTCACCAAGTACATCCACAGAGTTCCCTTTTTGTTTGTCCCTCCATGACCATTATTCAGTGTGTTAAGAATCCCTGATTTTAAAGAACAGTGCAAATAATGTAATATAACATCATACATCAAACTTTCAAATCGAACAGTTTGCAAATACACCATTGCATCTTATAGTATCATGTAAAACATGGTGCATTTAGCTCAGTTCAAGCTTAAAAATGGTAAAATGACGAGTTCTCTTATGGGAAAACAAGATCGTCAGATTCTGGGGCAATTCCTTTTTTTTAGTAAGGTAAGTAAAGGTTACCAAAAAACGAAAGCACTAAGTGATTATATTACAATATATTCTATAGCCTGATATTCTGATTAATTTAATAAATACTGAAACATTTTTTTGAGTGACTATAGCTTGCTAATTGAAGATCAACAGGCCAATGCATTGGCTTTTAATTTAAGGCAGGCAAAAAGACACAGATTCAATAAATAGAACCAACTATTCTGAACAGCTAACATGATCATCCATCCATCTACACTGTCCTATCACACTAAGTGTAAACGAAGACAGAATCTCATTCAGAATTAAACCTCTTGGTGCAAAACGTAAGCTTAATGGAATTAACACATTTTCTCATAAAACAAAATGTAACATGGTAGCAATTGATATGTATGTTGACCTAGACCCATCTCAAAGAGTTCAATAAGTGACACTGTCGGCCAGTAATGATGTAAATCTCAGTAAATCTCCGACGGAGTGTCAAACATCAAGCGTACAGCTCCAGCCAGAATGTTTCAAGTCCAGTATAACCAGTAACTGTTTTTTGAATGTGCAGGTAGTTCCAATGTGTTCTATATCAGTAATGCTGAATGTGATTTATATCTGAAGCTTCTGTTTGCTGGTGAGGTGTCCAGGAAGAGATGCCCACTGCTATTTTCTGTATGCTTATAGAAGGGAAAAAAACTGAAGAACAAAAGAAAATGGGGAAATTAGATATAATGGTGATATTCAGGATTCAAGGATTCAAAATGTCAGTCAGCTTGCTACGTTTACAACAGGGGTTTTCTAGAAAAAGTCTTTTTTTTTTTTAAATTGTGCACTGTGCACATGTTGTCCAACTGGAGAAAGACAGGTCTGGCCAAAGAATGGGAATGGGAAGTCAAATAAGGCAGCGAAAGTAAAACAAGCGACTTTATTGCCAATACTAAGTCCAAGTAGCAAGAAAACATAATATGAACGCAGAGAGGCAGCGAGGATCCAAAGCAGAGGTTAGATGGACATGAATTATGAGCTTG